CCTCGAATTTTCTCTCATCTCACTGCTAAGTATTTGCTGTCTAGTAGGTTTTTTCCTAGCTTCTCCTAATTATAGAAACTTTCTCTCTTTCTTGAATTAGAGACGCCTAAACTTTCGTTCTTTTTTTTAAATCCCAGTATGCTTACTCCTGGCCCTCTTGATGACTTCCTTATTATTTTTCTTTTGAAAGACGCGTACCCTTATTTTTTCTGTAAGCAGTTTTCTTTCTTTACATTTCAGCTGCATCATGCTTAACGTAATAGATGGGCTCCTGAATGTGTATGGACAACATCTAAGTGTATTGGAGAATCTCACCCTGTTTCCTTCCTCCCACACTCTTGAGTAATCAGAACTGTGAACTGTTTTACACACTGAACAAAATTAATCCAATATAGCAACAAAGATGAAAGAAAGAAAAGGATATGAACGGTCTCCTGAAAAATAAGATATGTAGAAGTCCACTGGGTGTTACCTGCTACATTTCCGCTTTGTTTGTTTAGGTCCCCAAAGTCCACAACTTATATGGAACTTGTACGATGACATTTTAAAAAATCCAACTCTTTTTATTTTTGCTCCCTGTACCCTCCTAAAAGCACAGATTAAATAGTCCCCCTTCTACTGGGAAAGGTGATATGCTAGAAAGAAAGTGATCTCTGGAGCTAGAGGAGGAGCCCCGGTCACATAGTGGGCTTTGCATTGCATTGTTAACAAGGTCAGCAGTTCAAAACCACCACCAGTAGCTCTACAGGAGAAAAATGAGACTCTCTATGTCCATAAAGATTTATGGTGCTAGAAACTCACAGGGGCAATTCTGTAATATCCTATAGAGCTACTATGAGTCAGCATTGACATGATGTCAATGAGTTAAAAAAAATTATAGAGGACCAAATGCCATCAGTGTTTCCTCCACATGTATCCGTCACCACCACATGTAACTTCATATTTCACCTTTCCTTATTTAAAAGTGAGGATCTCTCAAAATGATATCATATCTAGGAATAAATCTAAGCAGGGACATAAAAGTTGTAAAGACATAAAGAATGTGAACTACAAAACATTAACATAAGAGATTAATAGAGACCTACATAAATGGAAAGACATTGCTCATGAATTGGATGACTTAATATTGTGAAAATGTTAATACCCTCGGCTACTCAAGGGGATCTAGCACTTCAATGCACTCCTGATCCAAATTTCAAAACTCTTCTCTACTAAAATGGCAATACTAGTCACCAGCCTTATGTGGAGAAGCAATAGGTCCAAATCATGAAAACAATATTGCAAGAGAAGAACAAAGTATGAGGCCTCATGCTTTTGGCATTGTGAGCGGTGTTACAATGAACATCAGTGTATACATATGTGTTCGTGTCACTTCTGATAGGTCTCTCGGGTATACACCCAGAAGTAGGACTCTGGGGTCATTTCTAGTTTTTTGAGGAAGGGTCAGATCATAGTGGTTGCTCCGTTTTGCAGTGCCATCAGCAGTGGCATACAGTAAGAGTTCAAGAGATACTATCTCTGTTATTACTCTTGTTATTATTACAAGAAATAGAACAATACTAATTACTTTTTTCAAGGACATTGTTGGAATTAAGAAGAGCAGTCCTGCTTCTGATCTGTCTCCATGTCCATTTATCTGGGTCCCAGATCACCTTTAAAACTTAATCTCAGCCCCTAATAAAATGATTTTTTTAAAAAACCCTCAGTCTCAAACCTCCTGATTTTATTAATTTCTATCTCCTCAAACATTTAAACTTTCTGAAGATAGAAATTGGGTCTAATATTTCTTCATGTTCACTACAGTATCTAGAACAATGACTCAAACACAATAGATGTTCAGCATGTATTTGTATTTAACAACAAACATCATTATCAATAGCAAAGAGCACCACAGATTCCAAGAGAAAAGGAAAGTGGATGTATCTTCTTTGGGGATTTTTCATTCTTTCAGATTATTCTACACAAGTATATACATAGAAGTTGAGAGCAGCCCTGGGAGAGTAATTACAGAGATGACAAATAATTTGCCAGAAAACAAAGTAGGTGCTGTATAGTAGTGTCAAGTTGAGACTTAAGTGTGAAGGGGTGAAGTTTAGCCTGTCAATCAGGTCACAGCTTGATGACCTCATTTGGAGGCACTAAGGAGATAAATAGCTCACTGGAGGTAGGACACACTCACTCCCTGTGAGACATTCTTGTGGAGAAGACACATGGAGCTATGCTAGAGCCCTGGAGTTGAACGAGCCACGTGAAGACCCCTGTCAGCGCTGAAATGCTTCCTCTGCCACTGGATCCACAAGACTTTCCACTCACTGGCCTGTGATCGTCCTGCATTTGGCATCATTGCATGTGCTTCATGAGTCTGAAGAGGAATTATTAGGTTGATATTGGACATATGGACTAACATCGGACTTATAGACTTGATCTGGACTGGGCTGGAATGTTTTCTCAATATTCAATTGCCCTTGTATATAAAGCTCTTTTTTTTAATACCCCCATAACGCTCTTTCTTATACACATATGAGTATCGATGGATTTGTTTCTCTATTCTACCCAGATTAACACATGCAGTAAGTCAAAAGTAAATTCACAACTGAAAAGTTGTGTATAACTTCCATTGTACATTAAGGATTCTGTTTCCATAAAGATCATACATGTGCTAAAGATTTTTGAAAAAATTAAAATGCATTCTAACAGCAGAGATTCAGAGCTTGTCAACATTTGGACATTTAACATCCAATATAACCATCATGGCATTCCCAAATATGTGGCAATTAAAATAAAAAACCAAGCAGCAAAATCTAGAGTCTGATATGCCTAGCAAGTAATGAATTCAGGATTTCACACATATATCAAACCCAAAACCAAGTTCACTGCCATAGAGTTGATACTGACTTGTAACGACCCTATAAGACAAGGTAGAACTGCCCCTGTGAGCTTCTGAGACGTTGTTTTCTCCAGCTGAGCAGCTGATGGTTTGGAACTGCTGACTTTGCAGTAAAGCATAACCACTATCACACACACACACACACACACACACACACACACACACACACACACTTTGGTGAGTAGAGTGGCAGCTCTTAGCTTCGAAGGTCCTTTCAAATAGGTGTTAAAGGAGAATGAACAGGTGCATAAGCAAATGTGGTGAAGAAAGCTGATGGTGCCTGGCTATCAAAAGACATAGTGTCTGGGGTCTTAAAGGCTTGAAGGCAAACAAGTGGCCATCTAGCTGAGAAGCAACAAAGTCCACATGGAAGTACACCAGCCTGTGTGATCACGAGGTGTCAAAGGGATCAGATATCAGGCATCAAAGAACAAAAAATCATATCATCGAGAATGTGGGAGTGTGCGAAGTGGGGACCTAAAGCCCATCTGTAGACAACTCACATCCCC